ATTCACTGTGCGTTAACTTTTTCAGCAATTTGTGCTAGAGTAGCTCTTCTGTGGGATCGGACCAGACAGACTAGCCTTCGCTCTCCATGCGTATCAATGCGTCCATGACCCTGCCGCCGGTTCACCTGTTGTCCTTCTTTGGACCACTTTTGATAGATACTAATCACTGCATACAGGGAACACCCCACAAGACCTGCAGTTTTGGAGATACCCTGACCCAGTCGTCTAGCCATCACAATTTGGCGTCACATTTTTCCTGCTTCCAACACATCAACTTTGAGAACTGACTGTTCACTTGCTGCCTAATATATCCCACCCCTTGCCACTGTAATGAGATAATCCACATTATTCATTTCACCAGTCGGTGGTTTTAATGTTATGGCTGATCGGTCTAGATTGACACTGATAGGCTAATGAAATACAGATTTGTTGAGATTTTTAATTCAGAATTTTTTATCCGACATTTATTTTTTAAAAATAGGTCAAATGAAACAAAAATAGATATGCACTTGTTCAGTGATTAACAGTGTTGTAAAGCAGATCATGTACTGACCATTATACACTAATATGATCACTGGTACATGGTATAAGAGTTTACTAATACTAATAAATTTATCCAGACTCAGTGTACCAAACACAGCTACCATAAACAGCCGTGATAGTATTATGGTTTAGTAACCATGGTTCTCATAAAGCATCATAGTACTACTGTGCTGTTATTATGGTTTCACATGTAACAACAGTTAACACAATCAACATCACTGTAGTACCACGGTTTAGATTTCGACTGCCACAGTTACTATGAAGTAATGAAACCAGAGGACTACTGAACTTTCGTATAAGGAAACAACAGCATTAGTCTAATATCTATGTCAAAATGAATGAAATGAATGCAAAGGGTTTCTTAGCTCATGGATACTTAAATCCAAAAGTTCAGTAAACTTCCCTCACCCGCGTGTCCCATGGTGATCCTAACGGTAAATCCAGCGCGTGCTTCGCTCCAGCCACACGCATTATGACGACACGGTACCGTCACGTGACGCTGTGTCTCCGGTAGATATATTATTAAAGCGCGACCTACCTACTGTGTTAAATATATTTTAAAAAAAATAAACAAAAAACAAAAACAAAGCGAAACAATTCTATACAGCCTCTTATTTTAATTCTAAAAGCAACAGATTTCCTGATGGGACGTAGATGACAGTTTTGCGACTTCCTGGAATAGGAGGAGGAGGTCAGAGGATTTCCCCTTTCTGAGTCTAGCCATGGGTAGGAAGAACAGAGACGGAAAAAGTGTGAGAAAGGCAGAAGAAAGAAAGCAAGAACAAAGCGAGCGAGTAAATAACTTGGTGAATGACCGTTTTTGTAGCTGTGCTTCTGTAGCATACACTTGTAGTTGTGTAGCTGTGAGCTGAAGTGTATTTTTAGCAGTATGGAGATGAATAGGTGTGAAGTGTGAACGCTGTGAAAGGGGAAACACCTTGACGCACTAGTCCACTCTCTTCACGTCTTTTCCCGTCACATATTAAAGCACAAGCTTTCTTTATACTGAGAAAAAAAAAAGGGGGGGGGGGGACCCAACATGATGACCTCAGCTTCATTTCCTCCACTAAATATGAAATATAACCCCCCCCCCCCCAACCCTAAATATGAAGTATAATAGCCCAATAAGCCTTGAGTTTATAATCTCAGAAACATTATTTATTTTTATTTTTTTTCAGAATATACTCCGAAAGATGTACTTGCTGCCACCCAATGCAGAGGTAAGAAAGTTGAGATCTGTGAGATCTTTAAAACAAATTGTATGAGATAGGAATGAAATATTTATACACCTGGTCCCTTAAAATCATACTTTAAATTCCATTGGACATTATTCATTTTTGTTAAAATGTATTTATTATTTTTGAGAAAGCCCATTACAAGTTTATATCTGTTCCTGCTTTTGAATTAAATGTAGATTAAAGTGGAGTTGTCTGAATCCAAGCGGAAGCTGTGACAGTTTCTGTCTGCAGAAAGTTGAACCATACCATGTTCAGGTGGCTAAGAAAGGGGATTTAACTGTGATTTGGACCCAAGTAACCAGGAAAACACACTGGTGCCTGACCATAGAAACCTTGGTCAAGTTTTATTTCCATAATAGTATCATGTTTTCTTTAGAGATTTACAGAATTTGCTGATTAGGTATCATTTTAATAGCCTATAAAGATAAAAAAAAAAAAAAAAAAGATGGTGAAGATGATAAACAACACTTACCTTTCACGAATTCTGTTAATCCATTTTACTGAGACTCAAAAAAAATCTGTTAATAGGTGTATGTGGACTGGCTTAACTGTAGACAGTTCCTTGAGTGCATGTATTTTTTTGAGAGTGTGATGAGGATGTACGTGTTCATTACTTTACAACAAAAAAAAAAGTTCCTCTTTTTTTTTTTCTTCATTGTGGTCATCAATTTTTTTTTTTGTCGCCTGGCCAACGTGTTGTCACACTATATTAACAGCAGACAAGATAATCAGGAAGTAAATGTCGAATGTTTAATGCAGCAGTTCTTAGGTACAAGTCAACAGGATCCAGATGAGATTATTCATTAAAGAAAGGGTGAGACTTGGGCATAAACTGTTTTTCAGAGGTGCAATCTTTAGGGTATCCATGTGGAGCCATGCACAGCAACAGCAAGCGAGTAACAAGTGCAGAACGCTCCAAGCAGAAGGAGATCATCAGGATGAATCACAGCAGTAGAAATGTGTCAGGATCTGGCATCACATCAAGCAGTGGGAGTACACATACAGACAGAGAGAAAACATTCAGATCATACAGTGGTTTAAAACGGTGTACATTGAGATCAGAGTGCGGCAGGTTTAGCCCTGACAGCATAACTAAAAGGGAAAGCCAGAAGATAACACAGGCATGACAGCACCATGTAACATAAAACTCCCTGCCACTTCACCGTCAACAAACCTGAGTGAAATAACGTCCCATGAATAGTAAAATAATAGAAACTATTAGTGACGCTATCTTTAGTTTGTTTTTAGCATTCATTTTCTAATCCTGTGTATCCAAAAGCAAAGCCCTTTTTGTAACCTAACGAATTTGTAACCACATTCCTTTTTTTATTTGAAAACTTACAAAATATACAAAAAATGGATCACCAAGTGATATACAGTATATTGTTCATTCCTCACTGATTGCCTGCCTGTTTGTGAAATCGATGCGTTGTGTGTATTGCACAGGGCTGCTCATCTCATAGCAAAACATTAGCTTGCCTTATCTGGATCGCCTTTACACGTCAGAATTTAAAGGCTAGTTTCAGAAACTGTGAAAGAACAGATACAATCACAAGTGGGTTTAATCAGTGTTAAATATCTACGTGTTTTATTCCTCTTAGTCATCTTTACTTTAAACAGATCAGACTGAACGTTCCATATTCGGATGTTTAAATGACAGCATTCAAACATTGTTGCAGTATTTAAGAGGAATGCTGTCTGAAAAAGGCCTGGGCTTGACTTTGAACATATTCTTAATCCTAAATGTCTATGATTAATGTAGTGTATTTTGTTTTCTATTTACTGTAAAACAATGGTTACAGTTTTAATTTGGTAATCTGGAAAGCAGTTGTTTTTCTGGTAATCGATAAAGCAGTTTTTTTAAAGAACTAAAATCCTTGCATTTAGTACTTTGTTCAGTACCTCCATTTTCCATCATGACAACATAACAGTGATTTCTCCTATAATGATTGATGAATTGGAGAATACAGAGCAAGGAATCTGAGCCCACTCCTCAATACACAATCACTCAACATCCTCCAGGGTCCTAGGTCCTCTCTTCTCTAGGACTCTTCTCGTCAGCTCACCTCACAGCTTTTCAATGGGCTTTCAGTCAGGGGACTGGGATGGCCATGTCAAAACATTGAATCTTTGGTCATTGAACCATGTTTGTGTTCATTTGGACGCATCTACCGGACCACTGTCCTGCTGGAAAATCTGATCGTGACAGAGTTGTAGCTTTTTGGCAGAGGCAGCCAGGTTTTCATTTAAAAATCTTCCAGTAAA